TATATATAGAAATATGTAAATCACAAATACATATTGAATTTCTGCATCAGTTCTTATTTTTCATAGACGTAGATACCTCTTCATCAAGTACCAACATCGGCAGTGCGTCAACCCCTTTACAACCTCGCTGTCCAACTACAGCAATATCCGATGGTTTAACACTGCAGCCGTCTCAATTACTTCCCAACATCCGGCATAACGGAAGAGAAACGCGTTCCGAGCCAAAAGAAATACAATCGCTCACACCCAGAGGAAGTCCAGTATGCTCTAATTATTCCCAAAAGAATCAGTTCGTGAGCACAACAACTCCTGCTCTGGCAATCGGAAATTCTACCGACGTCTTGGTGAGTATCGTGGAGAGTCAAGCTGGACTTAAGCCTGGGCATTCCAAATCGGACCTCAATTCTCCGACAGTAGTGGAAGTTGAAAATGGAAAAGAAGAAGTCGCAGAAGATGCAGCAAAAGTGAAGGGAACTGAAGTTTGCTTAGAGAAAAGAAATGGAATTATTCAAGACAGAGATGGAGAGACAACCGAGCTAACGTCTCCTGAATTTGAAGATTTTGTGAAAAGTCCTAGCACTGAAATGACCGACTCTTCAGATAATACCTCCATTTTTATTCGAAAAATTGATGCGAATGCCTTAAATGATGTGATATAGAAGAATTGTCCAATTTTTATCTAACAAAACTATAAATAAGATACGACACATAAATACCTCTTGCAATCAAAAATTGTTTCCATTTATTTCGTTTACATTGACTTATCTAACAAAATTATAAATAAGATACGACACATAAATACCTCTTGCAATCAAAAATTGTTTCCATTTATTTCGTTTACATTGACTTGGGTACAAAAGTCAAAAGCGAATGTGATCAAATTTTAACCGGGTGGGTTTCAAACGGAATAAGATGACATCCATTTCTGAACATTGTTCCCAACATGTAGACGTAAATACAGGGTCTTGGAATTTATGTATCCAAATTTTTAATTCATAATTCAAAAGAGAAACGTTCCTATAAAATGAATATTAGGGAAATTTTATTTAAGTTACATAATCTCTCACAGGCAGTTCTGTCACTGCTACGGCATTGATTCTGGTGATGTTTGGTGTTTACTAAAGAATAATGAGCTAATTATTAAATACTGTTAGGTTAACTACTAAAGAATTTCAAATTGATTAGTAGCGAGTGTAAGTAATAAACAATTGGTGGAGTGAATGTAATAAACAATTGGTGGAGTGAATGTAATAAACAATTGGTGGAGTGAATGTAATAATATAATTTTTGATCCAAATGATTATCGTGCCAATAGTGACTATCACAGCACCCTTCAGCATTCTTTAGTAAAGGCTTACAAGTTTTTTCGATGCCGAATTAAACTTTCGATTTCTTAGTGAACTTGCTCATTAAAATACTTATAATTACTCTAATAATAGACAGGTATTGAATAAAAAGCAGTGATTTGTGCCTGCATCATAGAGTCAAAGACGATAAGAATATTTAAATAAATCGATAATTTAACTGGGACTTACAGATGTAAGACAAAAAAAGTACAATTACTTAGTCAAACCCGATAAGTATTTAATTACTAAAATAGAAGAGAAATCACTCTAATGTAAACGTGCTGTGAGATAAGCCATCTGAGGTTATTACAGAAATCAACACGGGGTTGTCCCTCAATAATAATTCAATTGAACATTCTTCCATTACGATTCCATAGCCGTTTTTTTTTCCTTCAATATTAAAGGTTGGTTCTCACTATCACTTAGACGACGGCAGGGAGCCGTCCGACAGATGTCCGTCAAAATATTATTCAGTTTAATAAGCATTGTACATTGACACAGCTTGTGTATATCACGGGTAGCCCACCTATATTTTTTTTTATTTCTTGTTTTCCTTTTCTTTTTCATCTCTTCTTATTCTTGTAAAACATAGCGACGAAAACGAACTAATAGTCCAAAATTTTCCGAATGACTACTCGTTTCTAACCTTTTCTATCCACGGTATCCTCATCATTCGCCTGTAACACCACGTTTCGAACGCTTCTAACGTTTTCTTTTCCGCCGCGCCCACCGTCCATGTTTCGCCCCCGTAGAGCGTCGCGCTCCAAACATACACCCGTAACAACCTTTTTCGAATTTCCAAATTAAACCTTTGCGAGCGTAGAAGTTACACACACAATAAAAAAAATTGTCAAACATTAATGTTAAATCAATTTAATTTGATCCCACTATAGATTACCTCAAGAAGTTTCGTTTCACAAAGATTAAAGAATAAATTTTACAGAAGGTTGTATTATTGATGATTTCTTTAGGGATTTTATTTTGTGCTTAGGTTTGGTGTGTTTTGCAGTTCANTCAGTCTTGAGATTAGTTTGACACGCACCTCCACTCTTTCCAATCCTGAGCTAATCGTCGCATTTCCCTAAAATTAGAACATCCAACATCCTTAACTATGTATTTGTGAACAGTATTCTAATCCAGGTCTACCTCTGCTCCTCTTAACTCCTGTTTCTGCTTCTTGTATAAGTAAGTACGTACCTACATGAACTAAATAAAGAAGTTTGTCTTAGATATCTCCAAAACGACTCGCATTTCAGCCGAAACGTCGGTGATTGGGGTTCCAATTAAAAAGTTTTCTATCGTATCTAACTTTGATTCTACACTTAACTTCAAACTAGAAGGCAAACAGCGTGTCGTTTTTTAAAAATATCAACGTTAGGTGGTTTGCAAGTTTTTTCATGCCTGATTTATATTGTATTTAAATTGGTATTTTTTTCAGTAAAATGCCTAACAAAAATCAAAAACAATCTTTACGTGTGTGGCTTTTGCTGTCAAAACCAGATTATTCGCAATGGGATATACAATTTTAGGAGTCTTTATTTTAAATCTGAAAAAGCTTTCTATATTTGTTTAACCTTTTAAGTAAACACACTTTTGTATACACATGGGTTTTCGTTAAGTTAGTAACATATCGTGGATGCATAAAACTGAAAAACGAAAAGTAAAGAAAATTAACGGAACGTCGAATATTATGCATTTTTATTAAATCAAAGAGGAACAAATAAAGAGTGGTATTTTATTTAAGAGTCACCTAAGAATTAATTCATTACTCCTGTTTCTATCAAAATAAACGCTAGCTTTCGTTACAAGAAATTGGCCGCGGCAGCCTTCTCTCATCTAGAATACAAGCGATCAGTACTAAACTAATTTTGTTATTTAGGCTCGTTCAAAACTCCCTAAAAAACGGCGAAGGGTTCTTCCCGTAGAACAGCCCCGAAGGAAAAAGGTAGAGGTCTTAACTAACAGAAGAATGAACGCAATCAAGCAAGCTGCTGGAGCTGCCTCGAAAATGAGTAAGTGGCGAATATATAGTACATTGTACGAGGGGTGTCTCAAAAGGAAGTTTCACTATTTTTATTTCGATGCGTCTTTAGTATCTTGAGAACAGTTTCTGTAGACACATAGACCCACGAGAAGTCATTCTCTCATTCAGCCACCTCTCCATTTTCTTTTTCAGTTCATCTTCATTATGGAAACTGTAGAAACAGGTAAATGTTGCTCGGTACAAGGTCTGGGGGTAAGGTGGTTGTCCGAAAACATCCCACTGAAACTGCTCCAGCAGTTTTCGGGGAATGTTTTTCCAATATTACCTTCCCTTTATTCTGAATAGCTCTTCCAAGTCCGTTCAACATTTCACATTATCGTACACAAGTTATCGTGGTCATTAAAACCCCAATATTATTTTTTGTGGTTAAAAATAAATAACACCATCAATTTCACAATCAGCTTTAGGAGCGAGTGGAGTCTCCATGACGACTGGGTGCGTGATATTCCTTGCGATTAATGCACACTCGCTTTACGTTTTACAGGAGTTCCAATACACACAGGCAATTATTTCCCTCATTTCAAACGTTTTTCACCAATTAAACGGAGTTAAAACATGGTGGAACTTACTTTTAAGACGTCCTTCGTATGGGTGTATTTTGGAAAATTTTTCATTAGCGTGTGATTTACTTTATGTATCATTTTTACCCCTGTTTTTCCCAATAGGTATACTTCATTTACTTTCTGTACCGATGTGCCCCTTCCAACGTTTTGGATGCGCGCTGGCAAAATCGTAGGTAGGGAGAAAAAAGCTCATTATACTGTCCACTTTTGTTCATTAAACATACTTTTTCATACAGTACCTGCCAAAAGTTTTGTTCAATCATGAATAGTAGTGCGAGTCGAAAACAAGCGTTAAAGTCTTTAATATGTCTTCAAATATAAATAAACATCTCGTTGATATTTTCAGTAGTAAATGGTACCAATAACAGCACATTTAAGCAATGCAATTGTAGTGGATAAAATGGTCAATTTTTTCGTGCAGTACTGTACGGATTATACGCTCCTTACCGGTTAAGAGTTTCACCGAGAGTTGTCTCCTTCCTTTTTTGGCCTAGTGCTGTTCTTTTCTACTTTGCGCTGGTCAAACAGAGGCTCACATCGCTACAGAAAGTACACGCAGTATACATACATAAATTTATCTCAATCTCCTAGAAGCTGTATCAAATTTATTGAAGATGTGAATAACCCCCAGTGTGGCTCAATGATTTAATAAAAACAAACAGTATTCATTACTTATTAACGGATAATAAATTTTGAATGTCAAATGATCATTATTTATTGGAATTAAAATTAAAATAGTTATTAACTACATTATGGAATTAAAATCCAATTTTCAATTTCTTTATAATTCATGAATTCTGTAGGTAATCATACAAATTCAACTTGTAAAAGGCAATGCATTATCGAAATTGGTGCATTATTTGAAGCCCTGATAATCTCATCCGTCATCCTTTATAAAGTCAATGTTCCGAGGCGATGGTTATTTATCTTTCGAGCAAAAACAGAAGAAAAATTGAGACGTCATGGTAGTCTCGACAGTTAATTATTATTATTATTATTTGTAATAGAGGGTATGTTTCATTTCCCAGATTTACGAAGGAAATGGTTAATGATTAATACCTAATGGGGCGCTTAGGTAGCTGTAATAATATTATTCGATCGGTTTTTAAACGAAATAGTCATACTGGAGTACCTTTTTCTAGACTAATGAAGAAATAAAACTCTTATGTATTTTATTTTTTTATGTTTTGTGGGTTAATCAATATTCCAGCAATTCTTGGATCCGTTCTCCTTTATTTACGTGCATGACGCAATATAAATTCAGTTATGTGCAAAGCGAATGGGCAATGAAAGTTAATTATCGTTGTTTACTCTAATTAGGTCCCTTGAACAATGTTAATGTAATTGGATTAGCTTTACATGGACCATCTATTCCGAGCATCGCGGTCCTGCACCACAATGGGCCGTACAATCTACAAACCACGCCAGGTACCTACATATATAAGCACATTAGTACATAAGTACATAAATATCACAGAAATACCATTTAATTATTAACGAGCAGTAAAAATAGAAGTAAAAAGAAATGGTGTGTGCGGGTGTATGTACACTCAGAGAAAACTGTAGAACAAACTTCTACAATTGTAGAACTTTTCATTACAAGTTGTAGCGAACATAGGGACAGAAACAAGTTGTAGTGAAAATTAATATAATATTGTAATTACTCTATTGTCTACAAACTGTTTGTCTCTCTACCACAACGTTAAAGAATATGTACTACAAGTTTCTCTTAAAAATTACTTTTCATTGTAGGATATTTCAATACAATAATTAGAAAAAAATTATACAAAATTGTAGAATATTTCTCTACAGCAATTAAGAATGAATTATACAATATAATGTTACGCATCTTTACAAAAAGTAGTTGAGTTTACCATTGCATTGCAGTACATTTGCAAATATATTGTAGTGGGTATTTCTAGAATTGTGTAGTCTACCTTTGGGTTGTAATGATGTATTAATCACTACAATTATTGATTTTATTTTTAATCAATTTAATCTCACCAGAAGCTATAATGAATATGTAGAAAAGTGTACAAATAAAACAATTAGTTATTTAAATCATGTATTAAAAAAAGCATAAAACATAATAACTTAATTTATAACAAGGAACAAAAACTTGAAAGCTTATTACAAAGTAGACGTCCTTTTCTGAAAATAAATCATAAATACTTCTACCCATTCTGTTTCAAGTAAATGACTTCTATCGAATTCATTCATCAGCTAAATCTTGAAAACCCCACTCAGACAATTTTCCTCTTGTAAAAGCATCCATAATAATGAGCAACAGGCTGTTAAAAAAATAGATTTCAGATGAACGTTAAAAAGACGGATATGTTTCTATTATCCTGTAAAATTGATAACTTTTTTTTGTAATTTTTCCTTTGTCAAATGTCTCGCCTCGCTAGGTGCAATTGAAAGGTTCAATTATTAATTTTACTG